GGGGTAGCATGAGACGGAGCGAGAGTTGGTTCGGCTCCGCGGTGCCTTCCTCGCAACCGACGGCGAAGCCACCCTGTATCGACCCAGCGACGCCCACCCAAAGACCCGACCCGACCCCCCACCATAGATGACCCTGTCTACCACCACCAGTGCCACGTAGTCCAAAAATTTCGATAGGATGCATCGCGTAATCGTCTGCGTCTATTCCCGCCCCCATCTCTACTCACTTGAAAATTTACCAATTTTCACACGTGTGATTCGTATTTTTCCCGCTGAAACAAACACGATAAGTAGAATTCATATTCCGTGCTTATTACGGATTCTCCCGTTACCATTTCCGTTTCAAAACGATCGAAGTTACGCATGTTACGATCGACGATCGATTCAAGATCTACTTCGAACCGATTACTGGAACAATCGATCCTCAAATGCATCTCGATTTCCTTCTCCTGTAGTCTTTTATGTCAGCAAACATCGTGACTCGGTGCTCGATACGTCCTAGTCGCGGTTGCGTCGCCCCATATCGCTGGTGTATTCTTCTCTCGTGATCGACAGATAGGTACCGTTCGCAACGTTGCTCGACAAACTCGACGAATACGCTCGAACATCGATCACCAAGGACAGAAACGGAAAATATTCTAGGTGAGAGTCGACTCTACTATTGGTCCGTGGGTTTCAGCGCTTCGTCTAGCACGACAATCTCGAAATCGTCGAGTGTCGATTCGTTACTATTTTTACTATTAAAAACAGTTCTATTTAGAAGAGAACAAATACATGGATCTTTCAGGAGAGCAGAATTCAGAGAGCAAGTACAGTGCTCTTCACGCTTGAAAAATGATCGTTTTGATGAAATTTCTATCCCCGTCAGATTTATGTCGCGAATGAAACTTTCGTATACACCGGACAATTTCGTCTTCAAGGTAAAACGTTAGGTAGATGGAAAGAGGACGGCCCGGAAGGGAAGGGTAAGGATAAAGGTACGCGGAATGAATACGACGTAAACAGGATGCGATGTCCGCATTCAGCTTGAAATAACTCTTTGTCGTACCAAGGACGGATCGTTCGTACGTCTTCTCGCATCGCGTAGGAGAGCGTAATAACGTCCTCGTTGTTAAAGATGCAAAGCTCGCTTTTAGGTTTTCGATAGAGGAAACTCGACTGCAGCGAGCAATGTCTTCTAGATACCTCAGATAATACGATCAATGTATATTACATAATGAGTACGAGTGTCGATTAACCCTTTCATATGACTAGGTACTCTGAATAACGAAATAAAATATTAATATAATGTACTTTTTCATATCTGAGTATAGAACAGTTTCTTCTAGTCTTATATAGATGGCGTGGCACAAATTTGAATGTGCATTTCAAAGTACAGTGGACTCTAACTATATTGCCATGGTCGGGACTGTAGGGGAGAAAAATGGCAATGAGTTGAGAGCCCCCTCCTAGCCTCGGCCTCAGCGCCTGCGCAAAAACTGGATCGTGTGCACGAAATTAGTGCCTCGCGTGGCAATATGTTTAGTGGCAATATAGTTAGAGTCCACTGTATAACATATATGTTACGTAACATATCGATTAGAATTTATACTCATTAATTTAATCGGTATTCTTCATTGTTCCTCGTTATTCTTTCACTTTGTATGTAACTCGTATTTTTCTTTTGATGTCGTTAATATAAAATATTGAGGTTATGTGACGCGTGCAACAGTTATTATATTCTCCAGCGACCAGAAACGATCACAAAAAATAACGAATCACCGTGAAAAATAATTGGGTACGAACGTGATCGAATCACTCGTGATTCGGAAGTTGTAGTCTACGCTATATCGACGAAGCTGTTTAGATACAACCAGCCGGAGATCGTTTTCATCGGTAGCTCTGGCTGCCTGGTCCTAATTACCGTTGAAACGACGGTGGCTGGTTATCTCAGTTCGCGTCCACGCATCACCCAGAGGAGGTTTCAGGATTGACGATGCGAATTCACCCGCATAAAACCTCGCGAAAATTACGCTCGACACAGACTGGCCTGGGTTATCGTTCGCAATACCGTAATAACTTCCAGGTATGGAACAACAAACTGCGATATTCGTTGCTCGAAATTCACGAAGCAAACATCGAGGTATTCCTGCGCTTGTATCACCGTCGACTGCAAAATGGTGTTCGCGTCGCCCGCTAAAAATCAACTACAGTCCGAGCACTTCGGGGAAATTTAATAAACACCTTTTATGTAAGTGTACGCGCGAACGATTCCTTTCGAACCAAACACGATTACGATGATTACACGAAAGGGTCTCGCGTCTGACAATACAGGGTGTCCCACCTAACGTGAACACCTTAAATATCTTACATGCTTTTGATTTGCAGAAAAAGAATAAATAGTCAAAGTGATGTCCATTAACTTCGATACATTTTCGCACTAATCCCTCTATCGTAGTTATTTCGTATTCAGAGTGACATGAAAGTCACACTATTATAGATCATTGGATCGGTGTTGATCTCAACTATCACGCCACGCTGATAAAAATATGTAGTTCCATTTAAATAATCATCGACGATCTTGATAATTTCAAAAAACGTTTCCTTATCATAGCACAGTAAAGACTTCATGAGAGTTGGATAGGAAGTTCCTCGTAAGAGTTTCTACTTCATCCCCATCATTGGGGGAGGGAGGCCATGGAACCTGTCAAGTGTATACATTGTTGCCTCCACCCCCGCTTTTGTTATCAAGGCTCAAGCTGTGGGAAAAAAATAGATTTCCGAGGTGTGTCCATGTAAATGCCAAACTCTCATGAAGCCTTTACTGTATTTGCTCCTTCTAACCAATTAACACTTTCCCCTCATATTATTTTATACCTCCAAAAACAAATGAGATATCGAAGGTACTCTTGTCAAGAAGGACATCCTGTATATATGACCGCGTTTCGCACCGCGGTTACCCAATTACGGCTGTATTACACGCAGAAAACAAAGCGGGAGCACCTTCGAACCGTGTGATCCAATCACGCGTCTCGACGCCGACCGGATTGTTGTCGACGACTCTACTCGAATCCCGATCCATTTGGGGTACCCTTTTCGGTCCTTTTAATATACTTCCCATTCGAAGCTGCAGCTCGTTCTGACGTAAGCTCACGAGGGAATTTCGTACGTTTCTTTTCTTATCTTCCAGTTCGATCGATCGATCGGTCGGTCTCGTATTTCGGGAGACTGGAGTGTATCCGTTTGAATTTCCATAGACGATACGCGGGGTTCGAAAGGACGCGTTCGGAGTGTTGGAAGGGAGTTTGGCCGCCGAACTCGATAAAGCTCGTTCGTTTCGCGGCGAAAGAAAGGAACGGAAGGGGTCGTTGAGCTTGCGTTCGGAATACGGAGAAGCCAAGTGGGCACGATTGTAATTCGAATTTCTCGGTGGTGTGTGACGGAAATACTCCCGAAGACGCGGGACTTGCGAACTATTTAATTGGAATCGAGGCGGTAATTTCGCGGACGAACGCTGCGTGGCGGTCGTAACCTACGTGATTTCACCTTTCCCATCGCGATATTCTTGGCGATTGTCCCGTTTCTGGAGAAACTATTCGAGGTTCCAGTTTCTCGACGACGCACAGTGGGCCAGAATCAAAATTCAGTAAATCAAATAAGGTGAAAAGACAAATTTCTTTTATCTTCCCAACAAAATTTACGTTAACTTATTATTAACACTTTCAAATGAGCACTATCAGTGAATGATAACGTCGCCGAACAAGATCCCCAAAATTGATCGCAGGATAAGGATGTGGAAAGTGCCCTTAGACCAATTCGAACGGTCGTTAAACTGTTCGATATCTCATCGAAATAGAGGATTGAAACTTGGTAGAAACTATTTTTTCTTGACAAGTCAATGGTCCAAGGCCCGTTCAAATCGATTTAAGGGCACTTTTAACCCCCTTACCCTGCTGTACCCTATGTTTATCTACTCCCATTCAAATAAACTTTTAAGGTTCCAAAATTTCTCATTGGTTGAGCCAAATGAGCTGATAATTTTTGTTGTTTAATAAATAATAAATGAGTAAATAAATTTCGATTCCAGACAACTGTGCGACGGCGTGCTTCCACCCGACGAGTCTATTCTCGATAGGTTGTTCCAGTCGCACAAACTTCGTGCTATGGCGAGGAATAGTTCGTTAAATGTTGTCGCTGGTTTATGCGAAACACGGCAATATTTACCGATCTATCATAACGTGTCCCACATGTCTGCCGACGTATCCAATATCGCCGTGGTCCGTGAAACATGTCCACGGGAAGTACCAGAATTCACCGTTGGAAAGTGTTCGCGTTCAAGTTTCACGGTCGTTCGGTCGACCTAAATTTCCCTCGCCGTTTAAATTAAGCGTCGATGCTGCGCGAGGAAAACCCTTCCGCGCAATCGTCGACTCAATCTCCGTGGAACAATTGTCCCAGGCATTATGCATTTTCACAACTGACGGGAGCGGTAGAGATAGGCGAACGAAAAACAAAACGATACAAAAATAATGTTCCATGCGGATAAACCTTCGTTTTATCTCGTATTTCAAATTTACCGTGACGGATCTGTACCTTCTATGGGAATATCGTTGCTTTTCAGAGTTGATGGTTAGAGATTCGTTAAAGAAAAACTGAGGGAGGGTACCGTCGAAACAATTTGTAAATAATAATTGTTCACAAAAAACCGGTCAGTCTCTGCTAGAAATTAACAATATTTGAGTTGCAGTACGATACTCTATGGAAAGAATAGAATCGTATGTATTCTCTGACGAGACGAAAAACGAGCCTTTCGAAATATCCAGCCGACTATTACGTCGAGAATCGTCGATCGACAGAGCAGATATAATCGTGAGTTTGTGTGTTTCGAAACGTACCGAGGAAAAAAATTGTAAACGAAAAAGAAAAACCAAATTTAGTTGCAAAGATGGACACGCGTTAGGTACGAGATTTCTAGACGATCGTTCGAGACGGAGATGGAAGATAAAGAACGTGGACACAAGTTAGACGCTGGCACGGGCAAAATGACTGGGAGTCGCAACGGCGATTGTCGGTGGTGTGGTGGTGGTCGTAGTGGTTGGCCTTGGCAGAGGAGAACGCTTCATCGGAAGTCCTCTTCCACCCTGACCGTTGTTCCCCCAGGGCCACTGCAACGTCCGGATCAAGGTGTTTCGGAAGTCCTCCGAGAACAGACAGTAAATGTAGAACGTGATCGAGTAATTGATCACCTCCAACAAGTTAGCCAGAGCACGGAACACCTGAAAGTTTTCAGTAAAACGTCTGTTCAGTATCGATCGAGATGATCGAGCGTAATTAGAAACCAGAATATTCGTGAGCAAATGTGGAGAGCAATGGAAAATTCTTTGTTTCTTTTCCAGTGAATTGTCCCGCGACCGGTTAACGAACATAGAACGCGAGAATTACCTGGTAAGGATGATGACTGAGATTGCTCTCCCTCAAAGTGACGTTCAGAATCACCATTGGGCTGACGCAGACGAGGAACAGGATGCTGGTACTGCCCAAAAGTAGAACGAGCCTTCGTTCCTCCGCGAACGTTCTCGGGTCCTCCTCGTTGCTGACGGTTCTGGACAACGTCATCCTTCTGCGACGCTCGCAAGACCTTCTGTAGACTATCATTATACGTAGATTGAAGCCGGCCAACAGGATCGTCGGCGCCACTTTGAAAACAATCTCGAGCGCTACTTTGTATATCTGAAGTACAAAAAAGCATTCCGTAGAACGTCGCGGAAAGTGTTCGAAAACTTGTACAGTGTATATTTGAATATTTCAGTTACTTGATAAAACAACGAGTCGAGGAACGACTGGTTCTCCCTCTTCTGATACATGACAGAGCCGCCAGGCTCCAGGAGGCAAGTCGTGATTTCTCCACGGAACGCGCTCGGCAGATAGACCAGAAACGTGGCCAGGGGGATCAGTACCACCGTCAGATGAGGTGGACCGCATAGCGGACGTGTGTGCTGACCGGGATGGCAAACGCTCACGTAACGCTCCACCGTTAACGCTAGAAGCATCATCACTCCTACTCCTGCAACAACGATCGTATTTTTCGTATCCTTGCCGCGGAATCGTACCCGGGTTAAAGCGTCGCTAAAGAGTGTACACTCGCACGTTCGATTGCGTTTCATCGTTCGCAACCCGAGACAGGATCGAAGAAGAACTGTTAAGGAAGAGAAGCGAAAGACGGATAAGTAAAAAAAGATGAATCAGGACGGAGAAACGATAGAAGGGACAAGAACGGATTTTAACGGAAAAGCATACCCAAGCATCCGTTGCCCAGAAAGAGTTCGAGATGAGCATGGTAGAAGGCCTGGATCCAATTGCTCCATCGGCCCGTTTCTCTGTGAATAAGAACTCGGAGAGCGAAAGGGATGCAGAAGAATATCGCGAGAAGCGCCGCCGTCGAGTATCCTACAACAAAGGTGTAACAAAGTTAGCCCACCCCCCACCCGAAGCAACGAAATACGGGTGAACACGCTGTATCGATGCAATTCGCTTAATCTAACTTGTTACGCAGCTACTCGATCCTTTGAATATCTTTTCGCGCGTTCCGTCTCGGCCCACCCCATTTTTTCCGTCGCGCAATAACGCTCTCGGACAAACTTTGTTAATTATCCAACCGTATCGCGATGCTTGCGAATTCGCACAGAGGAACTTGCCCCGGTTTCTGGAAATATGGACGTAATTAAGACCAGTTGAAATTCCACCTCCCACACAGTCGTTACGCGGTTGAATCGAAATTAGAATCGCGAACAGGGACAAGAAACTAGAAGTTTCAAGAAACTTTTGTATCGATAACAGACTTTTTGTATGGATAGTAAGTAACCGATAGCACGTATTATTATTTACACTGTTCCGTTTCTGGTAAACTTTTTCCCATTTCATGCAATTATGTATAGTGTCAAAGGTGGCGAACTTTTTCCAATTTTACAACCGTTTGACCATCGACAGGGAACTTATCCATTGTATACCGACAATACAGGTATCTACCTTATCTACATTCGATGATTTGTCGATAACTCAGAAGAAGTGATATCGTAAGTCGGTGGTTCTAACGTAGATGTCACTCGATTCGCTGGCGTTTGAAAGTGTCGGTATTACAGATCCCGCAGTACGTAAGCCTGTAAAATGAATACTCTCTCCCATTCCTCGTGATGTACAATTTTACGGACGGGTCGAGCAATCGATTATTCGCGTAAAAAGCAGTCAAAGGCAGAGGTATTCGAATCTAATTTATCTAACAGGCTTACGAAGAAAGAAATCCCTTTTCCAGCTACTGGATGTTCTCCAATTCGATCGACGTCACAGTAACGGAAATCGAACCGGCCTGTTGAATTCGACTACGCGCGCCGTACCGAACTACCCTTAAAACTTCTATCTCCACTTGGCTCCGATATCTCCATTAGAACGGAATTAAGTGTTACGTTTAAATTACGACAACCGACCGGCCGTCGTCGACCATATCTATCCCCGAGGTGCGTCTTCTTTTATTACCCTCCTCGACTGCAATTGCCACCAACTTCCACTCCTTATTGGATCGATTTTTATACTTTCCTAACAAGAGAGAGATACCGTTTAACTATATCGTTTTAACTTTCCGAGTTCCCGCAACGACAAACCATTCTTGGCTTTTCAATTTTTACACAATTTCGACGAATAGCTCCGCGACTGGATTCTTCGCGAATTTCGTGTGTATCTTCGTTCGTAACATTTTTCTATACCAGTAAATATTTATTAATTTATTTATTTTACCGGATAGGTCCCATTAGTATTCAAGAGAAAAAAATATAACCATGTTTATATCTCTCGAGTCTAGGAGAATTATGGCGGATTTTCTTTTCCTATTTACTGGAAAATACCCTTATACCTTGTCCCCAACACCTTGAGCTGGTAAATCTTTATGCCCTCATGAGACCGTTCAGATTCACGCAGACTTTTCTCCCACGTCGTTATAAATCATCAATGGCTAGTTCAGACTCTTTAAACCGCATATGTGACGCTGCGAACTTTTATTGTACTTGCCTAGATTTTTTTGCTATTAGCATATGCAGCTTCAGAAATTCGGCTGATAAAATTTTCTAAATATATGACTGGTCCGTATTAATTAAAGACGATATTAAATAATAATATAAGTCGAACAAATAATAAAATCAACCAAATATTTTTACCTCTAAAGATTGTTCGTTTCTGTCGCGGATCCTTTTGTAACGAGAAAGAAAAGGTAGTACGCACTAATACACAGTGTCGAACTAACGTGTCATCGACCCGTATAAATATCTCGGTTCGTTTGTCACAGCTTATGTCGCTGATTGCGTTCGGTCTCCGCTCCTTTTCAGGCGTGCGCGAACGGCGGAAGGATCGTAAAATTTTCTAGGGAAAAAGAAGAGAGCAACAATTCTTGTCGCGGAAGGACCTTTTCAAAGATCTCACGACGCTTCTAGAAACTTTTACCTTTCCGGTCCACTTCTGTTGGACACTGTTTGTGGAACAAAGTATCGCTGAAACACGAGGATTCCTTTTAATAAAACGTATACGCTATGATATTTGTTTCAGCCACATATGGCCATTACCTAGATAGCACACAACGCCTTCAAGACATCCATTTTACGGTTATTTTTTATCTAAAACGCCTTTAAGCCGTCTTCAGTGATGTTATATCTGGGTAGTTTATGAAGTATTTAATGTTCAGTACCGTGGAGCCTTCGAACACTCATCGAAGATTTAGTGTATACTATCGAAGGGCAAAAAACAGATGGCAATATGGGCTCCATAATTCGACAGTTTGTATTAAATCTACGCTGCGCGTCACATCGTATTTAGTATTCACGTCAGAACCGTGGACTGTCAACTGTCAACCGTGAAGTACGGTTCGATCGATCCATCAAAGTATACCAGTCGAGATAACGCAAAGCCGCGAATTCGGCCCACTTGTGATTTTTTTCCTTTACCGCGAGAGCAAGCCATCCCTCGAAGATGGTATATCGATCCGGCGCGGCTGGTCTAATCGAATTCCGAACGACAAGAAGCCGAATATTAAGCATTTTCAGAGCGTCCCCCGTATTTCGATAAATATTCATGAGGATCGTAAAGGGTTTTTAAACTACTTGTTTTAGAGACGGTAATTACGCTTACGGTTCGATTACCTCTGCGTAGCCGCTTCTCGTTACACGCCTCTAATTGACGGGATGAATTTTCCAAACTTTCCCAGCGTCTTGTAAATAGGGCTTCGTATCAACCGTGTTCCCATTTAAATTTTCTACCTTGAAGGGAAATAAAGTAACAGATGGCAGGGGGGGGGGGTGGCACCGTAAATAACACGATCGGCGCGAGGATGCACTTAATAGACTCGGTTATCGTTTCCCCGTGGAGAGCGATAAACGCGAGCAATATCCAAAGTCGTTTACAAGTACGTATCCGGTCCCTCGGATGCATCGTCTCTGAAGGGACGTAGAGAGGAAACAAGGGAACATTTAGTTCGCGCTATGGGAAGACGGCCACGTCTACAAACGAAATATAAGTGCGAGCACTCGTGATTCCATAGGGTATTCAGCGTTCCACGCTGCGACAAAATCTCCTTGTCACTTTTCTTTTTTTCCCTCCGCCGTTTCATTCAGTGGCGGGTTTTCCTCGGAGGCTCTCGCAAAGAAAGCTGCGCACGAGTATAAGGAGCATTCCCGCTAATAAGGGTCGTCGGAGACTCGGTTCGAAAACGACCCAAGCTGAGTCCATCATCTATCTGGAAGAACGATTCCACCGTAAACGCAGAATCGGAAACCCCTCTGCTATTTGTTTTCTGTCACCGTTTCCAGCACGGAAAAATAGTCGCGACTCGAGAAATATTCGATGCTCGCGGAACCGTGGTGTAGCAATAAATCGCGAAAGTTAATCCCACGATTGTTGAAAGTGCGCGCATGCTTTTTTTCGTCGTCGTGTCTCGTGTTAATTATTTGTAAAAGTGTTGTAGGTCTCTGATATGGGTCACGCGTGAGATGATTTGGAGCAAGTTTTTCCTTAGCAAAAATTTTATCCGAGGCTTTGTTAACGAGATATTAACGAAAAACCCCGGACCAATCAGAGCGCCCGTCTGCCGGTACCAATCGCAGCGCGCAGCCGACGTTACCGGGGGAGCTCAGCCGACAGACTCGCGCTCTGATTGGTCCGGGGTTTTTCGTTAATATCTCGTTAACAAAGCCTCGGAGAACATTTTTGCTAAGGAAAAACTTGTTTCAAATCACCTCACGCGTCTCCCATTTCCGGATCCTCCAATATTTTGTTAGAATAACTTGCTATTGTACTAATCCGAGACGTAGGAGTTACCAACTCTTATATATGTTATACAGTGGTAACATTTTTTACTTGTTACACAAAACCTACTTCTATTACGCAACTGCGTTAACACATTACCTACTACACTTTTGTTACACCCTGTATAGATGCTCGACATAACTATGAAAGAGTCTTAAATATCGTGCTAATTTTACGTACCTATAATAAATAGTGATACGTATAATCAAGGGTGAAATTTCGTAGCTGGTTTCGAAAGTGTTTCGCGATTCCGTGATTCCGTGCGGCACACACGGGGAAAGTTCGCTATCCCCTTTCCGATAAAGAGGCATATACCTATCCAGTTAGCGGTCCAGGTCGGCCTTGTTTGAGTTTAACGCGTTCGAGCTCTGTCGGAAATTGGATGTGTATGATTTTACGGCGATCGTCCCGGCCGCGACTGCGACAGATTCGGAAAGTAGGTCGGCGGCTTTTTGCCGCTCTGTCGCTCCCTGACATTTTGTCATCGGTCGCCTCCGACGTTGGCGGACCGAATAATTTTCCGTGTCCGCGAACCAACCTGTCACACGGTCGTCGAAGGCGGTGTCGTTGACTATCGCGAACGCTGGGAAAATTCAACGCGATTCCGACGGCAGCGAGCCAATCTTTTTCGAGGCATCCGAGCGAAGCTGCAAAGTCCAGTAACCGTGAGAGGCGCGGCCGTTCTTGCGGCTGATCCCATTGGATCAAGCTTGCCGGTTATCCCTTTCGTTGCCACTGTTGCCATATGACTACATATTTTAAATTATGAAACAAAATATTAATAATATAGGTAATAGTTATAATATAATAGCTTTTTTTTAGCCCTGTGTAGATGGTGTAGCACAAATTTGAAGTAGTAAGTAGAAACTGAATGCCATGAACAGACACGCTAGCCCAGTTTTCAGTTGCCCCCACATCTAGCAGATTTTCAAAGTCGATTTTTCGAAAACTAAACCTTAAATTAACAAATTGTATTCCATATTTTGTTCTTATTTTTTCACAAGGAATCACCTCGTACCCGCTTGTACATGTTATTCCACTGCACCCTGTATATAACTGTGATAAAATTATAGAAGTGATCAGATGGTAACGACTAAAAAACAGTA